TAAGCTCTTCCCGCCCCGCAATCTTGGCCTTCTTCTTGTCCTCCTCCGTCTCGAACCACGTCCGCTTCGGCCGCGCCTTGATCTCGGCCTCGTGCTGAATGATATTCTCGCCCTTCTTGAGCTGCATCTCGGCCTGCTGGAACTGCTTTTCCTGCTTCTCTTCGATCATGATCTCCTCGATTTCGTCTTCCATCTCGTCCACCTGGTCCTGCCACTTGTCCGCCTCCGTCGGCTCGATGACGCGGCTCATGATCTTGGCGCCGTTGGCCTTGCCGGCCTTGACCGCCGCCTTGACGACCTTGCGGTCCGGCTCCGCCGCCAGCGTGATGGCCACACCGGTGCGGCCGGCACGGGCGGTACGACCGACTCTGTGAACGTAAATCTCAATGTTTTGGGGTGCTTCGTAGTTGATGACGGTGTCGACGCCCTTGATATCGAGACCACGGGACGCAAGATCCGTCGCCAAGAGGTAGTTGACCTTGCCATCACGGAAGTTTTCGACACTGGCAATTCTCTGCAAAGTTCGTTAGCAGTCAAGTTCAACCAACAAGACTCGTTCAAACTCACCTGAGCCTGGTTCATGCTACCATGAAGCTCTGCGCAAGACAAGCCAAACAGTCCAAAGATGATTCTTGCTCGGTGAGCGTCCTTCTTTTGGCGGAAGAAAATGATGACGCGCTCGGTATGCATCGTCTTGCAGATGTGCACGAGGTAGCCCATGCGCTTCTCCTCACGACCGGGCCTCAGACGCACGAACTCTTGCACCAAGGTAGTGACGGTCTTGTTCTTTTGTGAGTCCACCATGACTCTGGCGGGCTTGTTCATGCCCACTCGCACCAGCCTGTCGACTGAAGATGTCATGGTGGCGGAGAACAGCATCGTCTGTCTTGACTTGGGCAGGGTCGTCAAGATCTCGTTCAACTCATCGGCGAAACCATCCTCAAGCATGCGATCGGCTTCATCGAGCACAAGAATCTCCACGGTATCGACGTTGAAGCTGGCAGAGTTTCTCATGTGGTCGATGAAACGACCGGGCGTGGCGATGATGACGTCTGGCCTCAGTCTCAGCTCAACCTCCTGAGCCTTGAGACTCAGACCACCGACAGCGAGAGTGAACTTGATATCGGTGTAAGCGGCAAGCTTGGTGGCGACAGCGTGACACTGGATAGCCAATTCACGGGTAGGAGTGAGGATGACGACACGGCTCGTAGGCACCTTCTTGGGTCTGTACAGGAGACGTTCGAGAATGGGAACCACAAAGGCGGCCGTCTTTCCTGAACCAGTGACTGCACCACCGACAACGTCCTTGCCCATCAGGGCAATAGGCACAGTCTTGGCTTGAATGGGCGTAGGTTTGGAGAAACCGACGGCAGCCAGACCTCTCAGAAGAGGACGGGAAAGAGACATGGCCTGGAATGATGATGCCGTGTCCTTCTTGCCGGGCTTTGCAGGCTCTTCGGGGGCAAAGAAAGCGTCACGCTTCGCTTGCTCCTCTGCGTCTTCCTCCTCTTCATCGTCAGATCCACGGTCATCGGGATGATCCACGGGTGTTGCAACAGAATCGTTGTCGGATGCTGCCTCGTCATCGTCCTCTGCATCCTCGGCGTCCTCGGCGTCAGAGTCTTCTTTTTCGGCATCAGAGTCCTCGGCACCAGGGTCCACGCCCATGCCAAAGGCATCGTCGGCCAGAACTCCATCTTCGTCGTCATCGAGGTCGATATCCACGTCCATGTCGTTATCCACCTCGGCGTCTGCCGCAACCTCCTCTTTATCCTCCTTCGGCTTGTCTTCGCCACCCTTCTTTGCCCGTCTTCTGCGAATGATTTCGTCCAGGTCAACGCCCGCGGCGGCATTGCTGTTCATGGACTTCTTTGCGCCTTCGAAGCCCCAACCCTCGAGCTCTGCGTCGCCGAATTCGATGGCATTGTCTTGAGCAAATTCGAAATCCGAGTCCATAGCACCATCGTCTTCGTCTTTCTGGCCCCAGATACCCTCGGCGACTTCGTTTTCTGGCGACTCTTCTCTGGCAGCCTTTTTCGACTTCTTGGTGGCCTTCACCTTCTTCTTGGGCGGCGGTGCCACGGTCTCCTCCTCGGCAATTTCCTCGTCATTGTCGGAGATTGTGTGGACGAAGTCGTCGTCGATCTGCTTGCGCTTGTGAGAAGGCGCCATGTTGACTGGTGGAATGGTGGTTGAGAAAGACAATTGTCGGGACCGCGGGGTATCGTTCAGCTTCCACACACACGCCTGTTCTCACACTCCAGCAGTTCCCAGAGCCAGAAATTTTTCTGAACGGACGGTGGAGCTTAACTTTTTCTGCCGTCTTCAGAGACCATCCCCCTGTCACGGGCGGTCAGACGACAGACTATTGGGACAGAGTGGGCCTTGGACCGTTCGTTCATCAGAAGGAAGGAACGAAGAAAAAGATACGTACTGATCTTGACTGGGACTTGTGCACGTGACAGTGTTTGCCATTAGATTCTACCTTAGGGGCAGGGGCAACTCCCGATAGACCCCACCATGGTTGATTGGGCGACCATTTTATTGGCAACAATTTTGGCAGCCTTCACGCCGGGCACCGACAAAGCAACGAGATTTAATTTCTGCCCTGTTGCTTTACAACTTGTCATTTTTGGTCCTAACCAATCTCGGCACCTTACTACTTTCCACACGTCTCCTTCTCGACTTCTTCGACCACCAACACCCACTACTACCAACCGCGTCTCTGCTTCTCTCGAGCGTCCTTACGAATTTCCTTCTGACATCCATCCCGAGCGCGTTTTCCCGATTGTCAACACAGTTCCAGCCGCAGAGGCAAACACACACATACAAAATGGGCGAATCCAGGTGGGCAAAGCTTCCATCCCTTTCCATCGCGGTGCTACACCCGGCAGCATCTTGGACATCTGCGCATCGCAACTCGTGGCTAACACGGCACGACTTTCCAGACAAGAACTCATCCAGTGGCTGAACCAGCTTCTCTCTCTCAACATCACAAAGGTCGAGCAATGCGGTACCGGGTACGTTGCTGATCGGATACCCCTCCCCCGCCATGTGTTTATTGTGGGACCCAATGATGATTTTGATGATGGCGGTTGCTAATGTTTCGTTTCAATCTGCAGTGCAGCTCTCTGCCAGGTGTTCGACAGCATCTTCATGGATATCCCCATGTCTAGAGTCAAGTTCAACGTCAACAGCGAATATGCATACATTCAGAACTTCAAGGTGCTGCAGAGTAAGTTTGCGCCGTCTCACGCCGTCTCGCCTCTGCGTCTAGTCTATCCATCATACACGGAAACGAAGAGTCATGGCTGACAAGACACTTCCTGAACAGACTGCTTCCACAAGCACCAGGTCGACAAGCCCATCCCCGTCGAAGCGTTGGTCAAGTGCAAGATGCAGGACAACCTCGAGTTCCTGCAATGGACCAAGAAGTTCTGGGACCTGAATTTCCCCGATCACGAGTACGACGCAGTCTCCCGGCGAAAGGGCGCCCCCGTGCCCTCTGGCGGTGGCCCTGCCCCCCGTGCCGCGTCCGGTACCGGTGCGGCTGCCGCCAGACGGGGCGGTACCACACCCCTCGGCGGTGCACGCGTTCCCAAGGCAGCGGGCCCCGGCACAGCTGCCCTGCAGCAGGAGAACGCCACTCTCAAGGAGACAGTCGTCGGCCTCGAGCGCGAGCGTGACTTCTACTTCAGCAAGCTCCGCGATATCGAGCTCCTGGTGCAGCAGGCCGTGGAGGAGGACCCCGAGCTTGAGAAGCAGGAGGACGGCCTCGTCAAGCAGATCCAGACTATCCTGTACTCGACGGAAGAGGGGTTCGAGATCCCGGCTGAGGGCGAGGCTGTCGACGACCAGGAGACCTTTTAAATCGGGAGACTTCGAGGTAGGGCGACGATGACACAGATGGAAGAGAGGTTGTGTTGTTGGATGGGAGGTTGTGTTCAGGGGATTTGGGAGGTAAAAGCACATGGGTTTGGCGCTAGTACAAATACCCTACGGCAGGTAATAATCAGTATACTGGCGATGAGGCTGAGCGGCCCTCGGACTGTCGAGACAGGAGTCGGCCAGAGCTTGCGGCAGTCCCGTCCCGCATGAGCAGTCATGATAGAATCAGAACGTTTTGTCTGAGAACCTCGAGTCAGTTTTCGTGGGTGACACGAGGAGAGTATGAGGGCTTGAGCCACGCGTCCAAGACCACATTATACTATGGCTATCCAGTTCATTTGGGCGTGATTCCGATCCTACATTTAGTGCTGCAGCATCTAGTTCACATCAGAGAAAGGTAAGACTCGACTTCACACTCATCACAGAGCTTAAGTCGACCCTGTAGTCTGAGAGCTGTGTGAGACTGTTTGCTGCAAATGACCTGGCAGAAGCGTCATGTTATGCTCGAGTATTTTATGCAGGGGCGTTTTGCATGTCGACTCTTGATTATTTACTTTCAAAGACGGATTTCTGCAAAAATCAAAATCCACGGATCGATCACCAAGAGAAATTTCCATCAATCCATTACACTACCATGCGAGTCACTACAATAGTATCCGTGGTCGTTTATGTTGATCGACCAGATGTTGATTAGATCGGACTTGGGTTCCATTGTCATCATCGCCCAGTTCCTGGCCTGATTGACCAGGTGCCTGAGAAAGCGAGGTGCCCAGCTGAGCATGTCCCAGAAATGCGGTCATTCCTGCTGCGGGCCCAACTTAGTGGTTCCACGCAATGCGCCACAGGCGTCAACTTTGGAGCAATTAGCGGCACACGACCATCAACATGCCCGACTCTTCCAGTGCCAAAAGTGCTACCTAAGCCCAAGCAGGCTGCCGTGTTAGGGAAGCTGGAGTTGACAGGGGACCTCGAAGTAGCAGTCTAGGCCCATGCTGAGGTACTGCACAAGCGTACCGGGACAGCAAGGTACCTTGGTTCCAGTACATTGACTGGAAACCTGAGGTGACCGCTCTCTCTTTCTCGCTCCCGTCTCCTTCCCTCCAACGACTGAACGAAAGGAGAGACAAGAAACCTCAGACATTCCCCCGAAACCTTTTTTGGACCTGACGCAAACAAGTGACCAAGGCCATCATTCCGACCACCAAACACAGAAAAATACTTGACCAGTACGACGGCTGCCTTTTGTTATTTTGCGAGCCATCTCATTTCCTCAACATCATCTAACCTCCGACCCCAATAGACGACCTCCAGAAGAGCGACAAGAACAACAGAGCATCCATTCCCTCCATCTCTACAACCCGCCATTGAGGACTAGAGCTACGATACAGGCCACCAAGCTCGTCCGAGCCTTCCTCCCGCCTCGTCCAAACCCGACAAACAATCCCATCCCCCGCTCATCGCCAATCTTCGAAAACAAAACTCTCTTCTCTACACAACTTCCCGCCTCAAACAAACCACAACAACACATACCCTTCACACACAATGGCGCCTCCCGCCGAAATCTCCATCCCCTCAACCATCCTCTCGACCGGCGAATCGAAACCCTACACCCTCTACAACATCACCCTCCGCCTGCCTCTCAAATCCTTCGTCGTCCAAAAGCGCTACTCCGACTTTGCAACCCTCCACCAGACCCTCACCTCCCTCGTCGGCGCCGCGCCCCCCAACCCCCTCCCGGGCAAGTCCTGGTTCAAATCCACAGTCTCCTCCCCGGACCTCACAGAACAACGCCGAAAGGGCCTCGAATCCTACCTCCGCGCCATCGCAGAGTCCCCCGACCGCCGCTGGCGCGACACCTCGGCCTGGCGCACCTTTCTCAACCTCCCCAGCACGGGCGTCGGCAGCACAGGCAACTCCGCCGCCAGCGCCCACGGCCTCATCACCAGCGGTCGCGCCGGCGCCGCCGACCCGACGACCTGGCTCGACCTGCACCGCGAGATGAAGAGCTGTCTCCACGACGCGCGGAATCAGCTCGCGAGAAGGGACGGCGCCGTGGATAGCAACAACACCTCTGCCGCCGCCGAGGCCGGGGCCGCTGCCAAGAAGGCGCTGGTCAAGGCTAATACGCTGGTGAGCACCCTCGCGGATGGGTTGAGAGCCATGCAGGAGGGCGGACGGCTCGGAGACGGTGAATTGCGGCGCAGGAGGGACTTGCTCTCCTCCGCTCGCGTCGAAAGGGAAGGGCTCGACAAACTCAGCAACAGCATGGCGCAAGGAAACAGCAGAAACGGCGGCGGCGGACCCGGCGGACGGGAAGGGTGGGCCGCGGCGGGCGACAAGGCCGCATTATTGGGGAGGAGTGGCGGCGGCGGTGGGGCGAGAACCGGCGGACGGGTCCTGGGTGCCCCGCTGCCAGAGACGGAGCGGACGCGGGAGCTGGACAACAACGGGGTCGTGCAGCTGCAGCGGCAGATGATGAGCGAGCAGGACGAGCAGGTGAATACCCTGGCGGCGATTGTGCGGCGGCAAAAGGAGATTGGGCTGCAGATCAACGAGGAGGTGACGGAGCAGACCAAGATGCTGGACCGGCTGAACGAGGACGCTGATCGGGTTGGGGGCAAGATTGATGTCGCCAAGAAGCGGATCAAGAAGTTTTGACGCGGGTCGCTGTCAGAGGAGGGGGTTGAGGAAGTAGGGACGGTGATTGTGACGGGTACGGCGCCTCGGCCTACAGCGGCACCGCCGTTGGTTGTCGCGGGCGGTTTCGCTGCCCGGTCCGTGGTCGCTGTCCTCGGTGTCGTGGTGTGGTTTCTTTGGGTCGGCGGGCGGGTATTGGATTCTTTTGCGTGGTGCCTGGAGTTTGGGTCCGTCTTGTTGGTCGCGCGGGCTCGTCGATGAAATTCATCTTTACCATACCCTTCGTTCGGTGTGAGGGATGGTTTTTCTTGCCGCGACAGTACAACGACGTTTTACGTACGCGAGTACGATGGAGGGCTTCTTTTTTTCTCGACAATTTTACATACTTTGCAACAATAGCGATTTCAACTCATTTTTATCTCTGATCAATTCCTCCAAGCTTTGCTCTCTGTTGTTTGTTTTTGCAAGTTGAGATTGGAAATACCAGTGTATCTTGCCTTATGGTAGTTCTAGCTTGGGAGTTTAATTTCTATCTAGATTGATGCTTACTCATTCATGATTACATTGTCCACCCATGCAGATTAGAACATGGGTTTCTACCTGAGCAAAGCGTAGTTCATGCTGGCATTGGTGTTGCCATACACCCATGGACAACAGTAGATTGCCCAACTCACTGAGTCTTACCGTTTAACTCCTAGAGCTGTGTTCTACATACGTACTCACCACCGGTGTGAAGTTACCGACGAGGCTGCGTGGCCTTGGTTTCATCATTATTCACAAAGCCAAGAGACTGCAATCTTGCGCCTCATCGAGCCTTTTTGAGACGAAGTCTTTACTCGTGTAAAGCTCCTCTGACAAGGTAGACAAGAATGAGCTCGTCTGGGAAGCTTCGATGGGCCGTTCGTCCGCATGATTTTATGGTTCGTGCAATGGGTGTATTGTGAGCCCATCGTCTAATTCCGCAACGCCATTTTCTCCAGGCTCAATGGATCTCTTATCAAACTCTGGCGCTAGATCAGACTGAGGCCACCCACGTTGCATTCGCGAGTCTGAACAAATCGATGTCAAAGAGCTTGGCCAACATATTGTAAGAGGGGACTCTTGACCATGGATGGCGCCTTCACGCTTGCACGTAGAATCCCGATTGTGCCAAGACAATTAGATATACCAGAGGCTGCCTCAGATGCTGACCTATATCGCCAGCCTTACTGCAGCAGCCATGTTATCCCAAGACAATCAGCTCTGGGAGATCTCGGGAGTCGGGAGATGCAGTAGGGGACGCGACGGTGCTGTGTTTCTCTCGCGCCGGACCGTTCCTCATGCACATGCAGACGGCGGTTGCTTACGGACGGGGACCCCCTGCCGTTATCGAGTGGCGGGTTGGTTGCATGCAGTTGCCGTCACATCGCCCTGATTTCTCCCTTTTTCGCCTCGTCGCGGGAAAAGAAACGTGAAGCACGTGGTTATTGGGCGAAGACTGGAGGCTAGAGAGGGGCGATATAATTTTGGTGTATGCATGAGCAAAGTGAAGCCATCGTCAGTTTGACTGTTTTTTGCATCTCTCGGCTCAACCTTTGGCTGCCTAGATGTTGTGTCGAAGTATCTGTATCCGTATAGTCAGCGGTTGCCGGCCGGCAGAAAGACGTTTAGTGTGGCACGGTGGCACGTTGTGGCCACGCCCACTTGGTGACATTTGGTACGTCACCCGAGCGCCGGGATGGGGCACACCGTACACCCGACGGTGCAAGGGACTTCCCGCGGTTGCTGGGCAACGACTGCGAGGAACCGTTTCCGAGAGGGGAAAAGTTTAAAAAAAAGTGTGAAAGGATAAAACGACAAAGAAGAAGAAGAAGAGTCGAGACAGAAGCACCACCCTGCTCCACCACAAAGACCGTTGAAATGAGATGACGCCGCAGTGTCACAATTGGCGCCCAATGGTGCCCTGCTTGCCCAGCCTGGCTCATTGCAATGTTGCAGTCGCAATTGCAGTGTTCGCCCGATCAGCCGTCGTATTCGAGTCCATCGAGTATTGAACCTAATCGACCCAAGGGAAGCCCAGTGAGCTGGGCGCGAGAGCAAGATGATGAAAGTCGAGGTGATTGCGATGATACTATCTCCGTACGGGACTGGCGGAGGTCGTGTGGACTCCGTCCACGGTGGCTCTCCTCTTTTCCCCCTCCTGCTCCTCTCCCGCACCGCCCTCCTATGTCCAGAGTGGATGTGCTGGCGCCGAGGGCCTGCCGCCTATTACCGGGGGAAATAGCCTCAAGACCCGCGATTCGCTGCCATGGAGGTCCCAGGTGGAGCTTTCTCTCTGTGATTCCGAGTGATTCCCACTGATTGACCGCTCAGACAGACCGCATGCGACTCGGTTGATAGCCTGTCATAGGCAGGAGATTGAGTGAAGTCTTGAGATTGGACCGTTGAAAGAGGGGAGGAGGGTCTGAATCGGAGGCGGTTTGCTCGATTGAGCTGGGCGAGGAGGGTTTCGGTGGGCTCGGCAACGGTGATTTGTTATGATGATCCGTTGGCGATGAGTGGACAAAGTTCGTTTGCCGTCCTTTCGTTGGCTGATATCCTTCCTTTCCAGTGTTGATGATCCGAGGAGGAAAGCGAGAGGTCATCTTGCAGTCATAGTGAACAGGTGGAAGCGTATGGATGTCTATTCGTGAGGGAAACAAACACGTATCGCGGTGTCTGCTGGGAGCGGTGGCTGGAGCTTGGTCATCCGGTGGTTTGGATTTTTTGTCTTATTTTTTCAGGGTCCCGTCGGTTGCAAGGAACATCCTCTCAGGTATGAGGTGGAAGCTAGGATGGCAGTCTTTTCCCGACGAACGCTCAGTTGGCATTCCAGTCGGGCCAAGGACATTACCCCAGGCGGCCACATGCAGGTGCAACGGGTAAAGAACAAAAGGTTCGAAGCTAGCGAACTGAAAGCAGAGAACAACAGCCACAAGGAGATGGAGATGGAATGGAGGTTAAAGTGAGTTGTTCTGAGACACAAGACGCCTACTTCCGTGTACAATATCAGTACGGAGTAAGTAGTACAGCTGGCGGCGGCACCTGCCATTCGGTATCGGGCCTGAGTGTCCAAGTGCCTTCCTTCCTTCAGCTCAATTCGCAGCTGTCAAAATGTCACCATTCCTTCGCTTAAGAGAGGTCAGTGTGTGTATAAGTGGGCCTGCTATAGCGATCACAAGAGTCTCTTTTTGTTCTCTCAGTGTCCTTCAGCGTCTTGAGGTACCCAAAAGGACGTTGGTACGTACTGCCAGCCACTAGCGCCCAGTCACACACCCCCAACTTTGGCTCCCCCAAAGTCCACCACCACCACAATCCGCCGCTACCTCTCCCCCCGGTCGCCCATGAGAAATTCCCAAAGTAAACACAAAAGAATTCCTGGCCCCTTCTCGTCCGCTTCCCCGTCATATTTTCCCTCAACACCACCACCAAACCCGTCCTCCACCAGGAACGGCGCCGTGTCACCAGACAGCTCTATTCCCTCCAAAACTTCCTTACTAACCAGCAGGGCAAGTTCCAGAACAACAAGAATATTTTCTTGTCTCAGCCTGCTTCCCCGCGATCGGACACAATTTGAACCACCAAGCACCCGCCACCTGCAAAAAAGCGCAAGGCCGGAGCGGGAAGAACACGATTCATTCGGCCCAGGCACCAAGCATCGACGACAAATACCTCTCAAGAGACCCGATCCGACCCCTCTCTCGCTTTGACGTCTTGGTATTTGCCCGTCTTTTTCTCTCTTGGCTTCTGGCGTTTGTTTTTCCTCATTGTTGCTTGTGAGTACTTTTATTACATACACTGCTTTACCTTTTTCTTTCTGCCACTCTATGCCTTGCTGCTGGTCATCCCACCGCCACTTCTTGCCTTCTAGCTATCAGATGGCACACAATTTCGCTGCTGCTGGAAAAAGAAGAAAATGCTCATGGCTTCTGTGCAGACGCTTCACGATATAACGACCGTCAATGGACCTCCTGAGATACCACTAGACTTCTGCTTGCTTCACCAACCTCGACCGAGACCCCAGGTCTCCAAAAGAGCTTCAAGGCTCTTATTTCAACCACCTCAGTCGGCATTCGCTGCCAACAATCACCACTCTCCACCAAGAGCTGAGGTCCGCTCAGCATGAGCGCTCCTCCACCGCCTCCGCCACATGGCGAGGCACCCAAAACCACTGCTGGCTCTCCACCTCCTGGCAGTGGCCTGGGCCCAGGCAATTATGACATATTCGTCATTCCCCAGCGCGATAAGGGCGGTGGATTCATCTATTTGCCCTCTCTGGCCCCCAATGGCCCTAGCTTCGCCGCTGGCTTCGCATGCGCCCTTGTCATGGTCGTCATGTTCCAGAGCATGGCGCCTGCTTTCAAGGCATGGTGGTTTACCTACCAGGGCATGGGAAACATGGGTATGGCCCTGCTTGTCATAGCTGTCGGCGTGGGAGCGTGGGCTTGGGGCAAGTCGCAAAACCAGGGCGCATCTACAAATAACGGCTCGAGTGGCTACCGCCCCGGCCCTGGTGGCTATGGCTCCGGCGCGAACTTCAACAACAGCTACGCGAATGCTGGCCCGCCGCCGCCTCCGCCGCCTCACGGCAATCAATATAACAGCCCTCCTCCGAACAGCCCGCCGCCCAACCACGGCGCGGGAAACGGCGGTCCTAGGTCTCAATGGCAAGAACGACCTCAGCCTCCACCCCCTCAGGACCCTGAAGCTGAACCTGAGCCAGAGCCGGAACCTCGAAAACCAGATCCTCCTCCCCCACCAAAGCCAAAACCTGATCCGCCGAAAGCAAACACCTGGGAGAAGGCACGGGAGGAGACGAAGAAGCGCGAACAGGAGCGCAAGGCAAAGGAGGAGGAAGAGCGCCGAAAAGCAGAGACGGCACGGAAGCTGAGGGAGTTCCGAGAGAGGGAAGCTCGAGAACGAGCGAGGAGGGAGCAGGAGGACCGCGAAAGGCGAGAAAAACTGGAGCAAGAGATACGCGAAAAGGAAGACTTGAAACAGAAACTTGAAAAGGAACGTCAGGAAAGAGAGAAACTACAGCGCGAAAAAGAAAAGGCCGAAGAGGAAGCCAAGGCCGCCAGGGAACGCGAAGCAAAGGAGGCAAAGGAGCGGGAGCTCAAGGCCAACAAGGAGAAGGAGGACAAGGCGCGCGAGGAGGCCCGCAAGAAGGAGGCTGCCGAAGCCGCCGCCCGCAAAGCCCGTGTCGAGGCGCAACTCGAGGCCTTTCGGAAAGCCAAGAGAGAGCGCGAGGAAGCAGAAAAGGCAAAGAAAGATCGCGAAGAGGCAGAAAAGGCCAAGAAGCTGGCCGAGGAGGAGGCAGCTCGCAAGGCCAAAGAGGAAGCTGCGCGCAAGGCCAAGGAGGCCGAAGAAGCCGAAAAGGCACGCAAGGGAAGTAGCTACGCCTACTCGTCCGGCGAGAAGACGAGTATGTGGCCCAACGGCCGACCCCCAGCTCCCCCCTCCACGACGGCTTCCACGCCGCCGAGACCTCCCCCGTCCGCATCGTCCGCTCCCCCGAGACCTCCCCCCTCTGCTAGCTCTATGCCGCCTCCAAGG